ATGCTGGTTCGACAGAAGACGTGCGACCGTACAGTAGAAACGGTCGCACGTCTCCGTTCACACTGCTCGATTATCGTACGAAAAACCGATTGCATACGATTATCGTACGATAATCGTGCAGTGTATGGGCACCTTAACAGAGTCCTATGGGGTCACCCTTGTGTGTGCTAGTAAGCTGTGTGCGTCTCCACAAACACACAGGTACAGCAGGACAATCCACTACCCCTTCTCTGCACTCCTTCATCCCTTGCCCAAACTAGTAACTGCTCTGTCACTTGTGATCTTGTCGTGGACAGGAAATTCAGGGAAGCTGAGCTGAGAGTTGGAGCGGTTTGGAAACATGACGACTGTAAGTGCTTGGGCAGAAATGTATAGATATCGTTTGCTGGGTGTTGTAGATTGGTTTGATCTGGATTTATTATTGAATAAACAGTTTGCGTGTTTAATACAATATAGTTACATAGTATTTGAGGTTGAATAAAGACACAGGTCCATCGAGTTCAGCATTGTGTGTGTAGTGTGTGCATAGGAGTCCCTGTGTGGTCTTAGGGTTTAATAGTACCTGTACCCCTGTATGTTACGGTCTCTTAGGAAGGTATCTAATTGATTTTTGAATGAATCATATACTATAATATTTCTATTGTAGTAATAATATTGAACATTTCCTCCGAAATAAACACCACAGGTTTCTTCAATTACATTTGAAGGTTTTATTTACATTTATTCGAGAGTAGATAAAGCCATGATTTTGGTACAATGTATCATTTCATAATGATCAGAATATTTTTCTTATAAAAGGAAGATAATAGGGGAGGATAAATAAACCACATTTTATGGACAGAACAGAGAATAATATACATACAGAAATAGAATGAGAATAGAAATAGGGAGGTATCAATGCTTCTTATTAAAGCAGGCTTTGGCGCGGTCCTCCTAAAGCTAAGCTTTATTACAATTCAGAGCCTGCCCCTTTAAATACCAATCGGCAATGGCAGCTCCTATACATCTAGCCTCTCAAGCCCTTTTTAATACCATGTTGCCATACGCAATGGTTTAAAGTAACCCGGGGAAACCAATCAATCATTTATCGGCGCATTCTATTACAATCGGAATTTTTTTATTGGCATCCATGGGTGGTGGCACAACACAGTGCTGGAAGCAAATTCCACCATCATAATAAAGTCGTGGCATTTCCTTTAGAAACATGTAAGGCACGTATGACGCATTTGATTAAACAGCTTCTTGGAAAAGGAAAGGTCGAAGAGGGAGTAGAGGGATTTTTACACGGTAAAACCACCCCGGCTTTATTCATCAAAGCAGCTAAACAGATTCAGGTCCGCCTATGGCTGTCGTTTTTCATTAGAGGCTTGATTAATATGGGGCCCATTGCAGGCCAATCACTTTGATACACACGATTTATAGATGGCAAAGCTCAGGAAATTACACAAGCTTTACTTTACTGCCCAGCGTACATCACAATGTACACGTTCATGCAAAAAGCCATAATGGTATGCAAAAATAAAAAAATCTATAGCAACTAATTTAATTATTTCACAACGTGCCTGCCTATAATAATCGTCTGCAATTGGTTTTAGCACATCTTTGCTTGTTGCACTGTTTGCTGAATAGCCCTGAAAGTCTGACCTAGGACATTTGGGGATGTGTATATATAAACAATTTGCAGAGCCATTCTTCCTGCGAAACTCCATGAACATTCATTCTGTATGAATAGGGATAAAATCGAATGTTCTTAGTATATTTTCTTTTCAGGTCGAATGTAAGATTAGGAAAGTACTGCACTATGGCCACTAGATGGAACTGAGGAGCAGAGCAAAGTCGTATTTATTTTCTATGCTCCTCAGCGCCACCTAGTGGCCATAATTCAGTGTTTTCCTAATATTACATTTGACCTGAAAAATGATATATATTGATAATGTTCCTTTTTGCCTCTATTTGCACAAAACAAACTTTCATATGAATGGCTCTGTTTAGAAATAGCCAGCATTTAAATAAACAAGCATTTATATATACCTGTCACTTGAATATGATGTAGTTTTACTGGATGAGAGTCCACAAAAATGCAGCTTCTATTGTTTATTGGTTGCACTATACATTGAGCACATGGCCACTTCAATAGTGCTGTAGCAGTGCACACAAGACAAAAGGCAGGTGCTGGTCTGCATCTGTACATACACACAACGTCTAGGCCTACCAAGTATGGGATTTTATTCCCGTGACCCCACAGAGATTAACCTCATTTTGTTTTGGTGACAACAAAAAAAAAAAGAGATATCCAAAAATGTTACCAGTTTCACCAGAACAGGAACTCAGGGAAAATCTTCCAAGGGGGGCACCCGATATATTAACAACGGTCAATACCAAGGGATTTCTTCTGCCTTGTTATGTTACAGAGACCGGAAAGGGAAGTCTGCTCAATGGGAAACTAACAGGACCAAAAAAAAAACCTGCATTTAACCCTTTCATATTCTATCTTGTTACCTCCGCAAACGTACTATGCATAGTAAACTCCAGTGTCTTACAACAAAGTAATGTCAGCAATGGAAGATGCTGCTCAATGGGGTCCACTGACCAGAATGTAAAATAAGTGCTTACATTAAGAATCTATTTACAGGTTTTTGATTTATGATGTATACAAATTTCAGCAAAGGACTACAGCTAAAATGTACAGCAGGTGAAAGCCAACTTCACCTGGCTACAGATTTTAAAAAAAAAAACATTGCAAAGATAATTTATACTTATTTGGAATAAGTTTCAATAGAGAATTAAAAACTCATCATTTAAAATCATTGGTTGAAATTGATATAAAAAAAAAATCCCCATTTTTCATCCATGTGTATACATTTAGGGTTTATGATTCAAGAACGTTTATAAAACTCCCCTCCCCCCCTAGGTGATAGAAAAGCACAAGCAATGGAAAATATGGAGAGGAGTATAGATGAGAAATAAGATCTGTATTGTACTTTACCCACATAAGGTGCATCATGGCCTTCTTCAGCTTTGTGCACCAGTTACGTCCCCAATTATATTGTATAATACCCTCCTGGCCTGACCTCACACAGAATCATTACACAATACAGGCATACGTCTAGATATACCTGTCATACTGGGGACTGCCACGCACACACAGTATCTGATGATGATGATGATGCAGAGAGCCTTTTGCAAAAAATAAATGCAATTTAACAAAAAAAAAAAAGAAAGTACAATTATTCATGTTTTGTAATGCAGTCTGTAAAGTATTGTGACCGTGATCAGTAGATTACGGGTGCAAGCCCAGGCCCCCTCAGACTTTTCCTCCAGTCCCTGTTTGTACCAAGGTACAGACTTTTGGTTACTGGCATGGGGTGGAGTTCTCACTGGACGTCATCATGGCAGACAGAACTGGTCGTTTTTGGTGAATGAACAATGTGGCTGTGCCGCGTTCACTAATAGACAGGATCCTGCATGAAGGAGATC